GCACATTATCAATGCAGACCCCCCCGGAGAGAAGTCCTACTGAAATATATGTCTGGCTCAACTTCTTGGCACCTCACATTAATTTACCCCCAAAGGCAAACATACTGGAAGGCCTAAGAAAATAATGCATCATTTACTGAACATTCTTTTACACCAGCCCAGTCCACATTACATATACATATATATACATACAGATATATATAGTATACTACACTAAAATTAAATACATACTCTGATGTGTGCTCCACTTCTTGCCATCTGTGCAACTTTGGTTAATATTCACTCATCTTTGTCTCTTTATTGTATATCATTATATTGTGACAACATGTTTCAATATAAATGGCCATCATCAGGAGTACAAGTTGTTGCGATGAAGGAATCTGTTGCTCTGCTGCTTTTTCATTTATGTAAATGCCTGAGCCTATTTTGCAACTATTACAGATAAACCAAACATGTGCATGGCAACAGTATAACCCATATAACCTACAACAGCCTGGGGCATTTACACAAAAGAAAAGCTGAACGACATTACAGTGAGCAGTACAGTTTTACATCAAAACAACCTGTACAACTGATGACGGTCAGTTGGGCAGAAAGTTGTAGTGATGTACAATAAAGTGAAGAAGATGAGTGAAAACTGACCAAAGTTGCACACAAATGGAAAGAAGTGGAACACAAAGTCAGATTTACATAGTGCAATAGGATGCTCCAATATAATGACTTTATGTAATAATAATAATAATAATAATTATAATATAGTGAGATCATTTATATTTCAGCCTATTCAGTTGTACACATAAGTCACAAGCATATGAATAAAATAATTCTTTATGCCACAAATTATAAAATGCAGAATATTGTAAACAATTTGAAGCATACGAGTAATATAACATATTGAATGGGCACGTTTTCTTCATTTTGCAAGCTACTTGTCAACATTTTCATTGTAGTATCACTTAAAGCTGTGACTATGTCAGCACTCAAATCAATCACACAGTTAGAAACAAAATAGATATAAGACAGTGCTTCTGAATATACAGAACAGAATGTAAAAATCATTTATATGCTTTATACCATAATTTAATGTTTCTACATGGTGTGATTTAAAGAATTCAGTTTAAAAAATTCTAAATGATGATGACACCTTTGCAGCAAGAGAAATATAGTTGTTAAGATGAGAAAAGACTGAAATACTTTTAGGATGTAATGTTTTCAAAATATATGCACTTTTTGTCCATTCTCTATATCCAAAACATCTTTATTTGCCATGGCATTCATTTCATCATGTGACATGGTGAAGCCTGCCAAATATGTAAATACAAGAGATAAAGTGAAGCTGTATGACATGTTAACACAAAATTAAAAGCAGGCCCTGTATAAGCACTTCCAAAACATGACATTCAAATCACATCCGAACTCTTTGGTAAAGAAAACACCACATATGTGATAGCCACACCTTAAGATATGAAGTCAGTATCGTCCTTTATTCTTTTTAAGGTCTGAATGCTGTAACAGAAGAAACTAAAACGTTTTTCACATGAATAATTATATAAATATATAAACAAAAGATGACACTTTTTTAAACTAAATCTCAGAATAGAAAGGGATCTTGCCATTTCTATAGGCAATGCCTAAAATCCTTAAATAGAGCATACAATGAACATTTAGACTGACGACAGTGTTTGTGAACATTTAGGCCAGTGAGGGGATTTAATGTCTCAGGCATAGGCTGACTATGATGCTAATGATTGCATCTATAGAATGAGGAAGCACTCTACATAAAAATGTAACCAACTATACTATCATGTGAAAACAAAACCTGAGGTTTCCTTTGTTTTGTCTCTTGTGTTTATTAAACATACTACAATCTCCTCTTTTTATAACATTAACTGAACAGCAGAGAGTGCAGTAGTACTTACAGAGTGTGATTATCAAGACATTCTTTTATCCCTTAAAAGTATTTATATAGTCAACAGATTTGAAAATACTTCTTCTGGCATTACATGAGATGTGATACACAACTGATTATTTGGCTGGGGGTCCATACTGAAAACAAAAGGCAATTTAACATTCCAAACCTCTGGAGAAAGGGTACAAAGTTGAGGATTTTGCAGGCCAGTGACCTGCAAAATAATTAAACCCTATTGGTTCATCTTTCAAGAATTTATCTGTGCAAGGCTGGTTCACATACAGTTGAAAGTACAAAGACGCTCGATTTCTCACAGTTCGCAAGGCTTTCATTCAAATTTTGAGATTTGTAAACAACTGAAGGGTGATTCTGCTTGCCATAAATCTTTAATGATGTAAGGATTGATGAAGATACTTGACAAGCTACAAGAAGATGGGGACAGAAGTGACAGAGGAATCCCAGTTTAGTAAAATCACATATTTGGTGAATACGTTTTCTGGTCCCAACCAAAGCCCAATATAAAAAAATGTATTATTTTCCCATATTTAGTAATGGTATAAGGTGTGTCCCAAAAGTCATGAAATATATTTCTTTCCCGCGCTCCTACTGGTTGGAGTGCGCTGGAACCGGTTGGGTTAGGGGGGGGAGGCCTTTAGCTTCACAGCACGCCCAAGGTCAGTCTGCTCGAGCATCGGAGGCGTCAGTATCGCTGATCTAGTGCAACTGCGTTTTGTGACCACGTCACGGTGCACGATGGCGGATACTTTTGAACAACGTTGGGTGGTCAAGTTCTGCACAAAGCTCAACAAAAAAGCTGACAAAACTCATGAACTGCTTACGCAAGCCTATGGGGAGTCTGCTCTATCATATGTGCAAGTTACAAGGTGGGTGAAGAAGTTTAAGGAGGGCCAGGAAGGAGTGGAAGATGACCCCGCTCTGGACGGCCATCAACAAGCCAAACCAATGAAAATGTGACTCGTGTGTGTGATCTGTTGAATACTGACCGTCTAATGACTATCCGGTTGTTAGCCGACACTCTGAACATTCCAAAAACCGTTGTGCATTGCATCATTATGGACGAATTGAACATGCGAAACGTGTGCGCAAAGCTGGTCCCCAAATTGTTGATGGACGAGCAAAAGGCCAATCGAGTGTTGATCGTGAGTGAATTGAAGGAATGTGTGGAAATTGAACCTCATTATTTAGACTGTTATTACCGGTGATGAAACGTGGACATCTGAGTATGACCCAGAAACGAAGCGCCAGAGTGCTGAATGGCACACCTCGACAAATCCAAAGTGACAACAATGCTCATCGTCTTTTTCGACTCCAAGGGTATGGTCCACAAAGAGTTTTTACCCCAAGGACAGACCGTCAACGCTCCCTACTACGTGGATGTTCTAGAAAGATTAAGGAAAAGGGTCATCCGCGTGCGAAAAGACAGAGCTGCTAACTGGCGGCTGCATCATGACAATGCTGCCGCAGCCACCCTACAGCCCCGACCTACCTCCGGCCGACTTCTTTTTATTCCCGAGGATCTAGACCGCACTCATGCCGTTTTGAAAGCATTCAGGCTATCCAAGCGGCCGTGACAACAGCTTTAAATGAGGTTCCCGTCAAGGCCTTTGAGGGGGCGTACCGGGCATGGGAGAGTCTGTGGAAAAAATGTGTAGATGCTCATGGACAGTACTTTGAAGAATATTAACACTTTGTACCGATATGATCAATAAATTAAAAAAAAAAAATTATATATATATTTCATGACTTTTGGGACACACCTTGTATGTCTATGATTTTCTCCAAACAAAATTTAACATGCTAGCTCATGGTTTATTATTTATTGTCATCAAACCAAAGGCTATATGTAGCTTTTGCATGGTTGCTATATTATCACTACCTTACCCCTCCTCCCAAAAGGTGGGTGTGGGGGGTGGAGGTTACTAAACAAAATCTGGACAAATTTTTTTAAACATCTTTACTATTCAAAATGTTGGGATCTTACTTTAAGTGGCATTACTGTTTTTCTAACCTCCCAAGTATATGCATGGTTGCAATGTTGGTGCAAGGTTCATGGAAAGTAAGAAAGACACAAGGCAAACAATCTTACTCCATGGAACAGAGTCCCTCATAAGAAACTGACAGTTGTTCATCTAGTCTACAAATGTCCTGCCTCTCATGGAACATGAATGTTCATTACCACATTCACAACAGAATGCCAGATGAATTCTGCCCATGTCATCACACTCTATGTCTTTAGAATCTAGTTCAGTATTTCTTCCCATCATCTCTACATCTTCTACATAATCTCATCTCTTCAAATTTTCAAATTAGAAATTTGTAAAGTCTGTATTTCTTCCATGTGTGATAGCTGCCTGCCTAGCTTTTCCCTCTAAAAACAACATTTGATGAAGAGTACACTTTATAAAATTACTCACTTTCTCCTTCTTAAGTCCAGCATTCTGGTCTCACACATCCTCCATCTATTTTCTTTTATTGCTAGTGGGGTGGGGGTAAGTCCCTTGCACTGTGGCCACTTCTGGCCTATTGTATGAGCCCCAGATGATAGGTGAGGGTGATTGTGGAGCAATTGGTGGAATGAAGATCGGCAGGTGAAACCGAAGTACTTGGAGAAAACCTGCCCCAGCGCCACTTTGTCCACCACAAATCCCAGTTGACCAGACCCGGGATCGAACCCGGGCCGCCACGGTGGGAAGCCAGTGACTAACAGCTTGAGCTATGGCGTGGCCCCATCCTCTATCTAAGTTCTTCTCTTAATGTGAAGATGAATTTTCATCATACAAAGAATCAAGTAAAATTATAATGTCCTGTACTGTTTCAGCTGGAGGCTCTGCACTTGGATGGACTTTGTATTGTACTTTTTTTCCCTTGGTACTACAGCTCCAGTGGGCCTGGGCCTACCTCCATGAACTTCTCCGTTCACTTCGGTTTTTCTTTATCTTAACACATTTGGTAGGACTCCTTGGGCGGGTGATCAGCTCGTCGCAAGGCCTCTACCTGTATACAAACACAGAAAAACGCACACACACAAACTAAACATCCATGCCGTGAGTGGGATTCGAACCCACGATCCCGGTTTCCAAGCGAGCGAAGACAGTACGTGCCTTAGACCGCTCGGCTACCGTAACCGGCATACTTGTGTTTAGTATAAATAATTTAGCACTGTGCCACTGAATGAAACGACATGTTGTGGGCTCTTCAGCACACAATGCTATCATTTGCTTAGTACTTTTATGTACTGAGTATTTACCCATCCTGTAGTTAAGTTATTCTCTCATAATTAATCAGCTGCTGCTCTCATTCCATGTTTATAAGCATCTGTATTGATAAATATGTAATTTGTGTTGACTTCCAAGATTCACACTAATATTTCTGTTAATAATTAAATAGTGTGTGTATCATAGGATGAAGTTAAGCTTTAGCAATTGATGCACATTTTATTAGTTGCCTCATCATATGTATGCATGCATAACATAACAGGCTAAAAGGGAACATATTCATAAGCAAAATAAACTTTCTTCAGAGACATTGTCAGAAAACTAAAGCTACATTGAAGCACTCAGTACATATCACTCCTTGTTTTAAGCTTTCTCAAGTTAATTTACATTTAGAATATTATCCTGTACTTTTCTGACATAAACTGTGAACCAGTCTTTCAGACAATATATTTGGTGAATTATTAAATGAAACTCAATCACACATCATTTTGTTTCTTTTTTAAAGAACGATAAATCTTTCATTCTAACATACATAAAGTATACTTATTACACAATCATTATATTTAAAATGATGACCACATTAATTTGATATGTGTAGAGAAGAGTGAAGCATTTTGAGACAGATCAGCCAAGGATGCAAACTTAGAAATATCTAATCCTCCAAATTCCTTACTTCAAAATAAATGTTCAGATCACCAGAATTCCTGTTTGTTCTGAGGCAGAAATGACACTGTAATTATCAAAATAATTATAATTATTCACTTACAAATAATATGCCAAAATACTTAACAGTATTATTCCAAGAAGAAACAGTGTTCAATTTAAATCTTTCAGTAGGTTTGTGCTGCAGTGTTACTTCAGATGACCTCACCATCTTGCAGCCTAGAAACTTACCACAGCATTATGCATCAAACAAAAACCACAGCTGAAGAGATACTCAAAATACTTTAATCTTTCCTGGAAATGTTTCAATAGCTTCCTTGCTCTTTGGTTGGGTAAAATGATATGTACATGTTAAATACATCACAGAACAATGGAGTGGGGAGTTGACAGTTGAGATTCTGATTGTGACTAGAATGTTGCAGCCTCTGAGGAATATGTTGATCTCTGGGAGAAATATCCACTAGTGGTGTTGGTCTGCAAGATGGCAGTTTTCTTGCAGATATCTTGGAGATGAATATCAGACTTTGAGCTGAAAAGTAATGTTTGCAGTCAGATGCATATCTCTGCACTGTAATTTTACTAAAATATATATTAGAGATTTATTGTGAAACACAAAGAGAATTGCATTAAGCACTGTGATGTGAAATAATAAAAAAAAATTGAATACAGAATTGTTAGCACTATAACAGTAATGAAATTCTGTAAAAAGAAGTTTGTGTGAATGTGTTTAAACGAATATTTCGCTTCCTTTCAGGAATAAAAGAAAATTTATGAACACATCTTTATCGCATTACACCAGATCAGTTGTTTTGGTATTAAGGATATTCAGTAAGATGTTCCTCTCATCGTCAGTCCTTCAACCTCTTCCAGATTTCAGCTCCACTTTTGTCTAAGTCTACCAGTATATTTAAAAAATTTCAAGTCATGTATTACAGTTTTTAGATGATAGATAAGACATACATTAACAAACATTATGGACAAAGTTATATCACTAAATTATGATTATTATTTCGTAACTCCCACAGCCCATCTATATTGGCGGAAACATAAAGGAAAGCAGCTGTCATAAGCCCTCAAAACTTTGACACACATAAAATTAAGAGGCAACATAACATAACAAAATTTCCTGTCCCCATAATTATAAACTGAAATATTAATGTTCCATTTATCTTACTTTTTTTATGGTACATACACAATAAAAGCTTACCTGATGAAGTTCAGATCTTGCTTGTAGCGCAACATACGCTTCTTCATTTTAATGAATGAGTAGAAGTAGGCCTCCAACTGAACGTCCAACTTCTCACAGATGATGTAACAAAGCGCGGGTGATGCCTGTTCACGGACAAACGGTCCACAGATACTCAGTTCACGCAGTGACTTTCGGCCACAGTGATATAAAAACCCTGTGATAACTTCTGCCGTCACATTGCAATAATCCAGCTCAAGACGTCGTAACTGAGGGAATGCAGCTGAATTGGCAAATGCACAGGCAAACAGCTCATCTGTAAAGAGGGGCGAGCCTGACAAGGACAGCTCTTCCAAATTTTCATTTGAAAGCAACCACTCAAGGTAGGATGCTGAGAAATCACTGTTGCCCGAGTTAGACCCAAATAGCAATCGTCGCAATGAAGGAAATGGTTTCACAGAAGCTATATTGTCGGGAATCCTGAATGAATTTCTGGCATATGTGTTATAGTAGAGACCAAGGCTTACAAGATTGGGACAGTGGATCTCCACAGATTTCATATCAACTCCTGATATGCCTTCAAGTGACAGAGCGTGCAGATGACTTCCACACGACTGTAAAATAGGAAGTACACTTCCTTCGAACAGTGTTATAGAGTCCAGTACAGAAGAATGTGTAGCATGATCAACCCATGGTTTCCTGTTGGTGTCTGCCACACACTGGATATCCAATTCTGTCAAGCATTTAAGAGCAGCTAGAGGGACAAGCGCATACGGTGAAGCCCGAGCATCAAACTCAATGCGAACTCTCTCAATTTCGGGACAAACAGATACGACTACAGCAAGCATGCTGGGGTTGTCCTTGCGAGACAGTTCAAGGTCAATCTCCCGTAAGTGATAACAGACCGCCATAGAAGAACTCCAGAGACTAGCCTCAACCCGAACCCGCCACGTTCGAGTGGAGTGGAGTTTGTAGACAGCATGTACCACTTCAGGATGATGCAAGCTGCGGAGCTGAGGGTTTGACTTGAGTACATGGCTGACCCCCACAGCAGTGACCTCTGTATCACGGAGATCCAGTTCTGCTAGTGTTGATATGTGCTTCAAATGACTCACAGCTTTGTCATTCAAGAAACAAGACTTCAACCCCAATGTCCTGAAATGAAATTAATGCTGTCAAAATGATATGACCAAATAAAAGCCACCATCATATCTTGTGTGTGTATGTATAATATATATATAAAGGCATTTCATACTCATACATACAACAGACTCTCAAATATCCATGCATGGATTACAAAATTTTCAGATTAACTGCAGGGCTTTTAGAACCCCTTTGTTATTGATTACAAATTCTTGCAATGATTCAAGTGTTACACATTACACCCTTTTCAGTAATATGTAGCAGTGACGTTTCATAATTATTTGTGGTAGACTGTACATCATCTCATCCTTTTGAAACTTCCTACATTATTATTTTATTGCTTTTGTACGTACTACAGAATGGGGTGTGAAATGATACCTCAATTTCTTTAAACTGTGACAGGACAGGTTTGTTACAGGCAAATTAATTGTGCAGTTAGATCATTTAAGTCTTAGTGATTTCACTATGGGGGCTTGTAATTACCATGTTGCAATTGTGGCATCCATGGCCAAGAGGGTGTCTAGCAACATACTGAGATGGCAGAGAAAAGGAAATTAATAATCAAGCAGAGAATAAAAACTATTTCATTGATAGCAGAGACAAAGAGAGCTGCTGAAAACATATGAATGTTTCCGTGTTCATTCTCAGATGCAGTGGGTTCATTCTCAAAATATTATTCACCAGCTTACTTGACAATTTGAAAAGGATGGCTCAATTATGGAGTGAAAATGTCACCATGATGCAATGTGTGTACCACCCACAATGTTGATGCTGTCAGTTTTATGCCTCAACCTGCAACTGGTCTGCCAATAAACAACCAATGATATATATATGCAACACGGTGCTACACAACACATAACAAACATTAAATTGGACCTTTTCCCTGACACCTGTGGTCCAAGTGTGATTTCTGGTAAAGATACTGATTATCATGCACGTGGGAGGATCTGCCCCTCCCCCCCAATTGTGACTTCTTTCTTTGGCGGTTCATGAAGAAAACTGTTTCTCAAATGGAAATCTCATCAATGTTGCTTAGAGCCATGGTGTCCAGCTGTGTCTAATGATTATGGAAGATGTGCCACCACATGGTCATGAACATACTTATTTTCTGGAAGCTGTACAGCAGAATAGTAACTATGCTGAATATGTGCTCCGTTAGGGATATATTTTTATGACTTGGTGCTTGTGTATGTATGCATATTTGTACCATTATCTTATGATTACAGTACCTTTGCAAAATTTAAACTGGAGATCATTTTTTGTGCCCCTCTGTATCACTGAACAAGAATTTTTTTTTTCCTACTTGAAAGACATGTGCCTTGGTGTTTAGTGACCAGTAACCACCAATGAGTAACAAATAAGTGGTTTTTAGGGTTGAATGCAATATGGGTAGAGGGTATATCTCGACCATTTTATTATATGTGGTATTTCTCCCCTTCTTTATGATCAACAATCCAGAGTTCATTGTACATGCATTTATTTATAGCAACATCAACTGTCAATTGTCCTAAGTTTAGGAGTACGGCAAAAAGAAGTATTCTGCCAAGCCACTACTGAACCATGCTGTGTGGTACATGCACTGAATTTGTCCCACCTCCAATAGTTATGTTAATTATCACCTCCACTCAAAAGACATATGAGGCACTCAAATATGCAAGTACTGTAAATCGACAGAAACACTATATTAGGGATGTTCGTTGGTTAATGTTTACAACATACATATGGCTTCTATCTGGATGGAAAAACAAAGAAAAGTGTATTCAACCTTGCAAGCATGCAGCCACTACTGGTTCCTGTCACATCGGGGACTAAGTTTCATTTCAGTTATTACCTCAGGTTTGGGCAGTGGCTGCGAATATATTTGAGTGATCCACTAGTGACATGTGCCATGGTGTCTATATTAAGAGACACAACTGTGGTCAAGCAGGGTGCCACAGCCTTCAAGTATGGCAAAGCTTCCTGTACATCTCTCACCTCCAGATGATTCAGGTTCTGTAAACAACCATGTTGTTTTCTTGTGTTACACTGTCCCCTCCTTTTAAGCCAGCAACAGGTGATTAAATGGCTGTGTGCATGACACACCTGTGTTGGCTATGAGAGGTGCAACAGAATGGGTGCACTAGAGAAAATGGGAACAGTGTGACAGAGTTGAATGCTGGTGTTCCATGTGCAGAATCTGCCTGAATAGGATCAGTCAGAGGTTATTCAAGTAGGATTTGACATTCTCACAGTGGTGGTTATGAAGAGTATTATCTCCCAGCTATAATGCCATGTAGCCCTGAAGATGGAGGTGATATGTTCCTCCAGAATGTTGGTTGATTTTCAATGGACCACGTGGCATTATATCCCAGGAAACATTACAGTTCCTTGGAGCTGGATACTGTCAACCAGCCAAAAATTCAATGTTGAACGTATCCTCTGTACCGCCACCAATACAAAGTGTCCAATATGTTCTCAGATGATATAATCATGTTGGGCAGTGCCCATCCCATGTGATCAGCACTGTCCAGGGCATGCTTCGCCTCATGTGCTGAGAGGTGTCGGACCATCCCACATACAGCCCAGACCTGTCACCGTGTGAATTCCTGTTCCCTCAAGAAAGATCTAACAGGCTGTGGTTTCGGGTTGGACAAAGACTTGAAATGGTTCCAGCATCAATACAGGGGGTTCTTTGTGGAGCAGATCCATATATTGATTATCAATAGGATGCCTGCATGAACAACCATGGAGATCATTATCAACAGGCTCTACTAGTTTGCCCACAGCAGTCTCTAATTTGGTTTCATTTGAAGAAGCATCATATTATGGGTGTAAACTATACTGGAAGTGCAGGAGGAAAGATTTACACTAAGGTAATAAGCCAGGAAATACAAATAATGAGTGGAAGTTTCCTACAGCAATGAATTCAACTGCATGTAAACGAAGAAGGCACAGAATAACAATTCAAGCAACTGTAATTCTAAATACAGCTATTTTAGATAAAGTAAAAGTCTTCCCATGGTCTAAATACTTTACCATGATTGTATACTGGGAGTATGGATGTAAAGATCCATACATTCTAAATCCTGACTCTGTATGGATCTGAACTGTAAATAGTCAGCTTCGCATTCTAGCCACTCTACATCTAGTGCCACGCACAACTATGTGGATACAGTTCTGGTGAACCCTCACAGAATCAGCAGACAATTCATCTTTAGTGTTCATAAAGGACTAGACATTGTTAAAATGTGGCAGATCCGGCTTTGACTTTCCTGAAAATACTACTCCCAACCACAGTACAAAACAAGTGGACCTCAGTCACATTTTTAAGCTACGTAAATTACGCAGTCATTAAATAAACTAAGAAATAAACAAACATTACCCTGCAGGTAGTGGCAATATGCACTAAACTAGTCTTCTCCGTGTACTTCGTGATACAGAGGCGCTTTATTCTCCGAGTGACGAACAGCCTCCACTTCTCTTGTTGCTCCAACCAGAAGTTATTTTGGCCTGATAAACCATTAATTTGCTCATACATGTCGAGAAGATCTTGCTCTAAGCTTGCAGCTGCAACATTTTAATATTAACAATTTTAGGTGAGAAGATGAAGCTTTCCTGTAAATTGAAATGATGCCAGTAGAACCCACACTACAAACTGATGTTTCTGTGTAAGGATAAGATTTGAAGCTTTCACAGTGAGCAAATGAAAGGAAGTTATTGGAGGTAATTTGTCTTAATGCAGCTGATGATACTAATTTACTCACAGACATCTGAAAATTTTTCTCATCTAAGCCCAATTTAATCCAATCACAATGTAACATATTACAAGAAGGTATGAATGGTCAGGAAGGAGTTTGAAGTGTCACTATTTACAGACAAATATGGAAGCTAGTAAGCAGCATGTAGATTACTACGATGATAGAAGCATTATGACAACCTAAGGAGGAATACTGGCTCAGTTTCCTGAAGTGGTAATTAATTTCATGATGAGATGTGAGGGGAAGATGATTATTCTTTCTGACAGACTTTCCAAATGAATGCTTAATAACTTGTAAATTGAGTTTTTAAATTCTATAGACATTTATGTAACCTCTTTCTTCCAGTAACCACATCAGGATAACTCTGCTTTGCTTAGGGGACTACTGGAGAAGAATGGCCATGATAACATAATTCCCTAATCTTAAACCTACTTACGTAGACTATCAAATGGACTGCTTAATATGCCTATCTTCTCTTGAGTGTGCTTAACTTGTAGCCAGAAATTTGAATTGTGTACAATGTTCTCAAGGCAAAGCTGGTACAATCTCTGCATCTTGTGGGCCTGCATAGTGTTGACTGAAAGAAATCATCAGATTTATCATGTAATCTGAGATACTTATTTCACACAGACTTGACTTATGCCAGTTATCAACTTAAACATATATTCTTACACAATCAGAATTGTCATTCCATCAATTTCACCTCTTTTGTCTTTCCAGACCAAAACAAATCCAAATAAAATAATATGCATATATTATAAGATCATTAACTCCTTGTATAAACATTTGTTAATGAATCTGATGTGTGAAAGTGTCACATACGAGTACATATCCATTTGTTCACTGTGAATTATTGAGGTTACGAGCAATTTTCAATTTTGCAGATACTTGGGATTCATTTAAAAAATCTCATAATTGCACATACTTCTATAGCACTGATCTTGCGTATAGGTTATTTAAAAATACACGATGCCTCTATTAACAAACAAAAAATAATATCAACCATTTTTGTCTATTGATCAACATGAATAATCTTCCACCAACGAATCAGATTTTGCCACTCACATATCCGTGGTGAGCGGTAATGCTCTTACTCTCACTACCGCTGACTACCGTGTGGATGGTGTGGATCGTGTGAATAGGCCACGGATTAAACAGCTAAGGTGTGAACTGACGCAATCGTTAAGGTCGAGCTAAGGTTCGTAGTACTTGGGTGCATGGTACATTTCCGAAAGCTGGATAAGAATAGCAACCGTAGGAAAAAGTGGAATACAAAGGGGATGAGCGCAAAATGATTATCGGGAATGACAATGTTCGTAGCAACGTTCAGAGTTCTGACTAGATCCAGAGGTTGGAAGTTGTACAGTAGAATGTCCACTGTAACAGGCGAGTTTATTAAGGAGAAGGTAAATACATGCCAGAATTCTCAGAAACAGTAGAGAATTAGATTTATATTTCGATATATTTAAACGTTATTTGGATATTGACTAATTAATGTTTTAAGCAGACGGGGTTGGTGCTAGGCGTGTACACTACCGATGACGATGCGGAACGTTTTAAACTTACGTCAGCTGCCCAGAAATTAAACGAAAAGACGAGTGGAGCACTACTAGAACATATTAAGTTGTAAGTATTGTTTTAAAATTAAAATTAATGACTAAGAAAGCTGTGTTAAAGGCATTGCTTGTACGTAAAAGAGGCTGGTTAGATTTTTTTATCACCTTTATTTATGGAAGATTGTATAAGTAAGAAACATAGCGAAGGAGAGACATTGCTGAATTGGTGTTTATGTGAAGCGTGTAAAAGCAAATACATGGGGCAGAGACTTAGTTTATCCCCATTTTTTTAGCACTGATGAGTTAGTTGTGCTTCCATCTGAAAGAAGGAACTTAAATTTTAGGCACTTTTGGCACACTGTCCATTTAAATGCTGGCACCTCTATGTTCCTTAGCAGGAAATGTATTGAGTAGCTGAAAAATCAGCTACTCAATGGAGACCTCTAATATGGAGTTAATTAGGAATTCTGGTTATTAAACCATTAAATGTTTCAGTTTGTTAATAAGAAATCAGTTGAATTTCAGACACGACTCTGATACTGTAGAAAGTAACTTAATGAAGAATGTGGAAATAGGACTAGAATTATGACCCTGGTATTTAGTATAGATGGGATATTATTGAAATATCTTTGGCACAGACTACCAGTGTAATGGTGAGAAAGTGTAAGATATGTAAGACTGCTTACCCAGTGGGGCCTTTCTAGTATATCGTGACATGAAAGATATGTACAGTTTTGAGAGGAAGCGATGGATTGCAAATAACAAGAAAATTATTGCTCTTTTGAAGTAGAAATTTGAAGTGGTAAATTTTGTTTTGCCATAATTGAAGTGTGAAATTGTGGAACATGAATTTGTGAATTTTCTTGTACCTTAAATGAATAGTTGTTTTACATGCTATTAGAAGACTCTTTTATCGTTTGTACAATAGATATTTTCACATATTTTTAGTGCCATTTTTATGACCAGTTTTTAAGTGCACATTTCTTCAGAGAGCTACCAAATGTGATATGCTAGCTGAGGGTTAAGTCGTGAAGTGCGTAATAACAGAAGATGGACACTGTTCATAAGCATGAGAATTGTATTGTAAAGTAATAACATTTAAAAGTGCTATGGTTTTTCATGCAAGTGAATTTTTTCCATATCGGACTCCGGGCTCCGGCATGCTCTGCAGTCCTCCCCCCCCCCCACCAAGNTTCCATCCCAGTTTCTTTACATTAATGACATAAATTTGGAGAGCAGGCCAATTTCCTTGTATTTGTTAGTAGCAGGACATATGTCCATTCTTCAATTTGGAGCATTCATCATAAACTTCTTGGCTTTAGTCTGCAAGCGAACTATACGGACCGAGCAACCGTTGCTTTTCGGCGAAGTTAGTGCCAACTTTAGTGGATAGAGGGTGTCGCGTGGTCAGCGCAACAAATCCCCACAGCTGTTAATTTCAGTTGTGTAGACATTCGTCATCTTGTACTTTTCTCTGAAGAAACTGATGTTAAATCAGTTTCATCAGTTTCATTTAATTGATTAATGAATGTTAATGAAAATTATGTTGTGAAGAAGGATGAATATGCAGTTGTGAACTGAGGTTACTGAATATATTGTTTTCCAAATCCATAGAAGGGTATGGGTTTTGAAATTCTTGAAGATCATGATACCTTAAAACAAAATATAAATGCAATATAATATTGTTGACACCTAATTTGTAATCATATATTCATTCAAGATTTTAGACACACTACTTTGTTGATACCGGAAGGAAGCTATAAGTGAAATTAGAACTGAATTCAGTCAAATGCAATAGTGTTTTTAATAATGAAAAAGAATCTTTACACGGTTTTTGCCAATGGTGGCAATCATTGGAAGATGATCAGTGATGGCCATTATTGGCTGAAATGTGTAAAAGTTATATTTTTTTTATAAAAAACCTTGTTGCACTTGAGAGAATTCAGTTTTAATTTTATTTATATATTATAGAGTGCAAAGGCTGAGTGACAAGGGCTATTATGAAAACTGGAAGGAAGACTTTGTCACTACATTCCAGTATTGGTGTAATATTTTTAACTAATTCTTTACACAACATGCACAGAGTGAATGCATAAGTTTAATTGTCCATCTGCTCATTTCATGTCCCAAATTACTGATTGCATGTTAATGAAATTTGGTATTTGGTCCTACCAAAATAATTAGGGGCGCACATGAGTGTAGTTGGTTGAAGCACTGTCCCACAAGCCAGAAGGTCGCGGGTTTGATTCCTGATGTCATTGGATTTTTCAGTTGATCTAATCCTTCTAGCTGGACTATGGCCCCAGGGTTGACCCAGCCTCCAACAGAGGTGAGTACCAGGATTCTTCCTGGGTGTAAAGGCTGGCCAGCATGTAAGGCTGACAACCTCCCCACCATATGTAAGTCGATTGTGGGGAGCTTGACATCTGACAACCTCATGGGCCTCCATAGCCTATTACAGTATGCAGCAAATTCATTTTTGTTTAGCATGGGTCATCCATACTGGCTCTGGGGTCCGCCCAATGTTCTGTCCAATGGGTACCAGGGGTTCTTTTGCCAGGGGTAAAGCGGCCGGGGCGTGAAGCTGGCCACTCATCTTGAGCTAGTCCCAGGGTCAAGAAAATGTGGATCTATACATCCACTCCCTCATACACCTTGGAGTACACCTTTCTCTGTTTTTTGAATGACTTGATTCTTGAATCCTGGATGCCTAAATGACTATAAAGATGCCAGTCAGTATTCAGGCATTCTTGCATAGGAAGATCATACTGTTGCCTGGTCTAAGTACAGATTCCAAAAATGTTTTGAGGAAAAAAGCGTTTACCTGACATGAAAACACATGAGTCTGGTGTCTTCCAGCAGCCAAGTTCATTTCTCAGTGAAACAGAAAACTGTGTGGTGTGTTGAATTTCACTTTGTGAGATCCTAGAATAACATTCTGATTTTAATCTGTTTAAGCCTCCAGTGTGTGAGAATTATTTCTCTGTACACTTTGTTTCCAGTTTTTTTAAAATTGTACACTTTCATATGAAGTGAATATCACCATCATAGTCCTTTACCGAGTATTCATTCATTGAAGATAGTCCAAATTTTCTGTGATGTCTGCTATTGTTTTACCATGCCAGAAATGCAGGTCTGCTTCAGAAAATAAGCTGTATTAGTACTGTCACTTATGGCTGGGCTGCTGCTTTTCCATTCAGGTAGCTCCTCAGTTATCCTCGTGAGGCTGAGTGGACCCTGTTCCAGATCCACAACTTCTCAGAAAATCTGGTAGTGCCAGGAATCGAACTCGGGACCTCTGGATCTGTAGCCAGGAACTCTGACCACTAGACCCCAGAGGCAGTCCACCTGGACTTAAGTAGCAATAGATTAAAATATCATGTATCTTTTGTCACAAAATATATCGTAGGAAATGGTACATTTTCAAAATGTACAGCATATTAAATTTCTTGTCAGTTTAGTAAACTTCAGTCTTATATGCCAATAGTGGCATGACACACATCAGAATAATGTTCATTTACTAGCCAGTGTTTTCTTGGTAACTTATTGAGAAGCTCTTATGATTTGTGCATTTTGCTGATGTGTATATTTTGCAAACCTTCAAAATATAAAGTTCATGGGTGGGACCGGAACTAGAGAATGAGGGACTGGGGGAGTAGGACCCCTCTGCCATTCCACTTGTCCAAAATGGCAAAGGGAGTAATGAGGCGGTACAAAGTCCAGTTTGAACATTTGTTCCAGTAGGAGTATGGGATAAAGCAATATTCTTTAACATTGTAAGAGAGGTTTTACCAGATATTAAATGTTCTGCAAAAAAGAAAGGACCAGTAACTGTATCTCTCATCAGAGTGCACTTTACATTAACTTTTGATGAAACATGATCATGTTCACTAAATTTGTGGGGACCATAATTGTGTCTGTTGACTGTTTGACACGTCAGACATTTCTTCATTGGGCGAGCCAATTCTGTCAAGAAAGCCCTTGTCCTTTTAAATGCAAGAGAGCATTTGTAAAGTAAATAGAATTCCTAATTCACAATCTTTTATTCATGATAGGGTGTCTCTGAAATATTTCATGTATACATTCCACATTCACTGTTAGGGGGAGGCTGCCCATGTTGTTACAAGACATTCCCTCTCTCTTTTAGAAAATTTGTCTCACTTCATGTGAGGTATACTCGTAAATTGGTGCTGTGTGATTTGTGTAAACGTAGCTGAACTCTTTGTCACACACAGTTGCATGCTGTAAAGTATGCCAGCCACAAAATGCAGTTTACTTTTTGTTGCACACTGTATGTCTTTCCTTTAATGGAAGCAAAATTGAATGGCTTTGCTAATCTATGGTAGTATGATACACATGCTCAAAGTGTAAGAGTCTTGGAGAGTTAACTATGCTCTAAGAATGAGGGTACTCTTCAGTGCACAGATGTTTTATACAGGGAGAGTACAAATAATGTTTACAGCAGAATTATTATGATATGATCAGATAAGATGATACAACCTAACTATCAGACATGGAACTGTCAGAGATTAGAATCAAGCTCGCATATGCAGTTGCAGCAATTTATTGCCAGGTACACTGCAGTAAAGAAATTGCCAACACAAGTACAAAAATCAAAGCTTATCTTATGGTTTAATATTACCAGATGTGTGAAATGAGTGCAGTGACACTGTTGGATGGAATTTGGAGTGCATCCACCATCTGTGTCATCCATTTATGGATTTTACAAAAAGTTCAATCAGACAGGTTATTTGTATAAAGGGAAGGTTTCCTTTGGTGCAGAATACTCTTGTATGAATGGAACTGGAACACCAACTAGTAGTGCACGTATGAAACATCTGTGAGTGTTTAAATAAACTGTGACAGTTGTAGTTTAATGTCTAAATGTTCAGATGTTGTATCTTGCCCGATTGCTTCAGAATGAATTTACAAAATTGTGAAGATCATTTGTGCTCACATTGTATTATTGCATTTTTTTAGTGCTCTACACTGTGTATATCTATTTGTACACCATACAGGTGTACACAAACGTGCACACAACACATGCACATTCACAGAATATGGATGCACACAGTACATGTGGATGCACCCGTGCACAACATGCATGTGCATGAAGATGCGCACATGCGCTCTCATTCTCCTTACGATTTGAATTGAATGGAGGGGATTTTTGTCCATGAAAGTTGATAGAAACTTGTACTTGCAGCAGAGAGTTTCTTCAGAAATGCATCACTATGGATGACAGTCAACTTAAAACTTGTAATGCTCAGTAAACTAAAGTGTCTGGGTGTTAAGTGAGAAGTTTGAAAGAAATGGGTACTGATTATTTATATGCCACCATTTGGAAAGTTTTGTATTGCCTCTAGCAGCTTCCTTGCTGCTTATTTTAGCACTTTGATTCAAATGTTTATGTATACCTATCTTCATCATTGTTTAAGTTTTGTTTTTGTTTGAGTTTAGGGAACATTTATTCCTTTCATGATAGGGCTGTATCATTAGATGGCAGAGGTTGACCTGAAACAAGTATAATAATGCTGTGAATAACTTGTTAGCATTTTGATTTGCTTGTTTGTATTGTTTAATGTAGTAAAATGTAAATCTTCAGAAACTATCCAAACATTGGCATTATTTTGTTGTTTCAGGCCAAGCTGTACTGATCTTTAATGCAATTTTGGAACTAGATCATCCCAAATTTGTCCAACTCTCAAGTTCACATAATGGCTTCCAACCGTACAACGGCACCACAGAGAGTTCGACCCATGAAGCGTCAACATCCAACAGTGCTAAATGGTATCAGAGGATCATTTGAGGACAAAGACAGTGACTTCTTATGCCCTGTTTGTTTTGACCTAATTGAAGAGGTTCATGTTACTCACTGTGGCCACACATTTTGTTTCCGATGTATCTCACAGTCACTAGAGTCAAATAAACGCTGCCCCAAGTGTAGTTCTGTTTTGCCTGGACCTGAAAGTGTGTTTCCAAATTTTCTGCTCAATGAACTGGTGTCAAAGTATAAATCTCGCATGGTAGAATCAGGGGAGCTGAGATTGTCTAGTGATGGTTCTGGGGATAATTTCCAAGCTCCTGCAGATGGTTTTCGGGATTTTGTGGCTACCGAATCCCAGAACCTGACTCTCCCTGATGTGAATATAATTTTGGAGGTTCTTACTCAGAGAAAGCATTTGTTGGAAGCTGAATCTTGTGTTGCTCAGAACAGACTTCTCTGTGAATTTCTTAAGCATCTTTTGCAACAGAAGGAAGAGCAGTTAAGTCAGTTAACAAAAGAGGTTGCTGTTATAAAGAAAGATATAGATGAAGTGGAGAATATTCTGAAGGATGTTCAAAACAAATGTCCGAAGTTGGAAAAGGAGAGTCAAGCCGAATGTGGCGTTGCAGCTCCAAGTTCATTAAAAAGAGGTCTGATTACAAACAGTGTAAATGGTACCTTACAGGAAATGGAGTCAGGAGGAACACCTGGTGATGGAGGAAGTTGTGAAGGGTTTAATGTAAGCCAGAAGACTTCAGATAATTCAGTGACAGTACAAGCGATGAGGCGGAAACGAATGCACGCCCATTTTGATGACTTTGTACAGTGCTATTTCACTTCAAGAGCTAGAGAAATTATGTTAGGTAATACTGACAAAACACCTTCAACAGACAGTTCTGTAGGAGTTTCTTCTGGTTTGGATGTATTCCGTGAAAATCTAGTCAAGTTTTCTCGGTACAATACATTACGCCCCTTGGCAACACTGAACTATTCTAGTGACATTTTCACTAATGCTACAATTGTGTCTAGCATTGAGTTTGATAAGGACAATGAATTCTTTGCGATTGCTGGTGTTACCAAACGAATAAAGGTGTTTGATTATGGAGCTGTGATCAGAGATGCAGTAGATATCCACTACCCATGTGTTGAAATGATTTCAAGTTCCAAGATTTCATGTGTCAGCTACAACTCTTATCACAAGGGAATTCTAGCCAGCAGTGACTATGAAGGAACTGTAACAGTGTGGGATGCTGTAACAGGGCAGCGAACAAAAACCTTTCAGGAACATGAGAAACGGTGTTGGAGTGTGGATTTCAATGATGTGGATACAAGATTGATTGCATCGGGATCAGATGATGCAAGAGTGAAACTGTGGTCACTAAACATTGACCACTCAGTAGCATCACTGGAAGCCAAAGCAAATGTATGTTGTGTTAAGTTTAATCCTCGTAGTTCTTGTCACCTGGCATTTGGTTCGGCAGATCATTGCGTCCACTATTATGACCTGCGAAATATGAAAGAAGCTCTTTCCATATTTAAAGGCCACCGCAAAGCAGTTTCCTATGTTAAATTTCTAAATAAAGAGGAGATAGTTTCAGCTTCAACTGATAGTCAGCTCAAGATGTGGAATATTAATAATCCACACTGCTTGCGTTCATTTGTCGGTCATATTAATGAGAAGAATTTTGTGGGCCTGGCAACTGATGGTGATTATGTAGCATGTGGTTCAGAAAATAATGCTCTTTATGTATACTACAAAGGGCTCACCAAACAACTCTTCAGCTTCAAGTTTGATGCTGTGCGAAGTGTTCTGGAGAAAGAAAGACAGGAGGATGATGTGAATGAATTTGTTTCGGCTGTCTGTTGGAGGCAGCACTCAAGTGTTGTAGTTGCTGCCAACAGTCAGGGAGTCATCAAAGTCCTAGAATTGGTGTGATTTATTTTTTCTAGTAATTTTTGGGCAAGGTCTGGTTTTAGCTGTGGTGTAGAAGCTTCAGTAGAGAAAAACTGAGATCTTGACAAAAATTGCCATCCACTTACAAAGTCTGATTATGTATGACCTTAAATTATGTAATTAAGTTTATAAATAGTGTTATGTTGAAATTAATAATGACTTACATCATGTTTTAATTAATTTTGCCTTATGAAAGATTTGAGTGACTAAGTTGAGCATTGTCCATGAAAATTAAAACTTAAGTTGGCAGAAATGTTTAAGCATTTTAAAGGTTTGGTTATGCTTCTCTCCACTGGGGTGTGATGGAGTACATGTGATCTGAAGTAGTGATTTTACACCCCAGTTCCCTATGGAGCACTGGATAATAAGGGAGTGTGAGAATTTACATTCAAACATGGTCCATTACAAAATTGCAGAAGGATTTGTACAAACATTTCATCAGTGGGAAGTCCCTTCTCTGAATGCAGTTCATAGACTAGTCAGACAGTGGCATGAAAAATGCTCAGTCATCTGTAAAATGCTACCTGGCTGATGTTGTTTGGTTTGCATGTCTGAGAATATTGCCCAAGTTTTGGAATTTCTTAAGAGCCGGAATAGTGCAGCCGGTATAACTACTGGTTACAGGCTAAATGTTCATACTGGTTCTGGAGGCCACCCAGCCTCCTGTCCAGTGGGTACAAGGAGACTCTCCCCTGGGATTAAGTGGTCAGGCCATGAAGGCGACCACTCATTTCCAGCTGGTGCTGAGATCAAGAATATGTGGATCTGTACATCCACTCTGCTATATGCCTTCATGGCAAAGTGCTCAAGTAGTTAAGCACAGAGACAACTTTTTTGCTTAGTGGGGGGTGGAGTCCAACTGGGTTCACTCGGCATGGCAGCCACTGATTGGCCTATTGTAGCCTGCCCCGGGTGATTATGATGATGGAGAATTTGGTGGAATGAAGATTGGCAGGGGAAACCAAAGTACTTGGAGAAAACCCGCCTCAGTACCACTTTGTTAACCACATATCCCACTTGACCAGACCCGGGATCAAACCTGGGCCACCACAGTGGGAAGCCAGCAGCTAACAGCTTGAGCTATGGCGCCAGAGACAACTTTACTTTTAAGTTGACATTTGTTGACCACAGCCCAAGATGGTCAGCATATATGCATGCTTAAGCTGTATGCATATCATACAGTAGGGCAAGGCACATCTTTGCACAGTGACCTGAATTTTCACCCTTATAAAATTCAAGTTGCACAACAGCTCAGTGACCGTGGCATAGGCATGCTTGTGAATAATTGGTTTCAGGCGTTGATGGCTGGGAATCTAGTAATGGGAGACAACATTCTATGAGGCACATCTTTACTTGCATGCTGCTTTTACTAGTCAGAATTTTTCATAATTTACCACTGAAATTCTGCATGAACTCTTACAAACATCCTTGCATGGCCTGAAAGTTACTTCTCTCATTCTTTGTCATCTACGATGATTACTGAGCTCTGTTTCTTCAAAGATGGAGATAGGCAAATTTTCATACTTGTGTCACATTACTACATGATTCATCCATTTTCATGCCAAGACTACAAAATGTTCCACGGCATGGGTATATATGGTTTTATGAAGACAGTGTCACAGCCCACTTCATGAAAACTAGCATGGCTGTGCCTTCTAATTTATTTCCACAGCGGGCAATTTATCATTTTGATGATGTGCCATGACCATCATATTCATTCCAGATTTTTTTCTCTGGAAATTCCTAAAACGTAAAGTGTATGATAGTTGGCCAGCAGTTTTAGATGTGCTAGAAGCAAAAATTTGAAAGGAAATTGCCCATGTGTCAGAAGAAACACTTTGGGAGTTGATGCAGAACTTTGGCTTATTAGTGTATTTAGTAGGTTAGTGGTTGTCTAAAGGGTGTACTTTACAAAAAGTAAAATATTGGAAAGATGTTGAAGAGTATAGCAAAAGATATGCATTTGAAATTGAATATTTCGTTTTCTGTAAAATATTTCAATTTAAAATGTGTCACTGTTTCTACCACACATTGTATCACTTGGCATGAATGAGTTGTGATATATTCTGTTCATGTAAGTCATACATTGATTAGTGAATGTGTACTGTTTTCGTGTGCTTCACAATATAATGAAAGCTAAGCATTGTGTGGGGGTAAATTTCTCTGTAGTTAAATTTGGGCTGATGGTCAAGTGTATTATCCTTGTATAAAATTAATTATAATCAAGAATTATATTTCTTTTTAAGTTTAAAGACCAGTGACTGTAACCATGTTATTAAGACTTCATGAACCAAATACAACTACATTTTGTTGAGTTAAGTTTGGAGGCATAGATATGCTATTTGGTGATTTTTTACTATATAAAATTTAACATGCATAGCGAGTTTGATGAAGTTTATAGTAAATGATGTTAAGGTAAGTGTGAAGAATTTCCAGTATGCATTTGGTATTATTCTTACATCAATGCCTAGGTCATGTATATGGTCTCTTCCTCAGAGGATTCCCCACCATAAGTTTGTACCTCATTTCCTGATGCATGTTATGTGTTCTCCCCCATTTCATCCTCTTTGGTGTAGTATTGTTAACAGAATTAAAGGTGAAGTACAAATTATGATGTTCTCCATTGTGTTATTTTCTCCACCTTCCTATTCAGATTCCTCAATATCA